TTGTATTGAGTACAATGTATATATAAATATAAAAATTTTATTTAATAAATTTTTTCATAAATTTACACGACCACGCTCTTACTTGACTACCTGTATATGTATGAATATGTGCAAATTTCTATTTTNAATAAGTTAGTGATATTTCTATAACCTCATTCATATAACCTCTTCTAACCACCTTTCATATAACCTTTTCAAAATCTTTTAGTTGGTGCATCAGTTTTATAGTCGAATAAAAGACGAGGCTACACTATATTGTACGAAGGAAGGTTTACGTACATTTCTGCAATTCTGTGCTCAGCAATTTGGATATATATTCTATTGGATATATAAAGTAAGTACACACATTTATAATTTTATATATTTGGCTTATATACACATTTTAACATAAATGTGTAAGTACATGTATGAATATGTGCAAATTTCTATTTTCAATAAGGTAGTGATATTTCTACATATAACTTCTTTAAAATCTTTCAGTTGGTGTGCATTAGTTTTACAGTCGAACAAAAGACGAGGCTACACTATATTGTACGAAGGAAGATCTACGTGCATTTCTGCAATTCTGTGCTCAGCAATTTGGATATATATTCTATTGGATATATAAAGTAAGTGCACACACACACACACATTTATAATTTTATATATTTGGCTTATATACACATTTTAACATAAATGTGTAAGTACATGTATGAATATCTGCGAATTTCTATTTTCAATAAGTTAGTGATATTTCTACATATAATCTCTTCAAAATCTTTTAGTAGGTGTGCATCAGTTTGAAAATGTATAGAATACAAAAAATTCGTTCTCGCAAAAGTATACATAACGTTTCGCACAAATATAAACAAACACTAATTCAAGTAATTCATACTGCGCGTAGAGAAAACATAAATAATAGAGTTGAAGTGCCTTTCAAATCTACTACAGATTCTGAAGAGAATAATTTACTTCATTCTATTGAGCAAAAGCAACAATATAACATAACATACAATAACTATAATGTAGAATCTGGTACTTCCTTTTNTGATAAATCAGAGGAAGATATACGTGAGGAAATCACAGAAGATATACATGTAGAATTCAAACAAGATAATACAGTTTGTGATTTGTCAGNTGAAAATATATGTGAAGAAGTTGAAGAATTAGATAAACCAATAAGTTTTGAAGAACAGCTTGCTTCTATATTTATACAAGGAAATTTTACTTTTGATCAGTGCAATTCAATTTTAAAATGCCTTAAAACTCATGCATGTTTTTCTTATCTTCCTAGTGACGCTAGAACAATTCT